CTAGAACAAATTCACCTAGCCTTCTCTTCATTATAAATGTTGATTCCAATTCATAGCAACCCCACAGGACAGAGTAGAACTGCCCCATAGGGTCTCGTAGGCTATATAATCTTTATGGGAGAGATTGCCAGGTCTTTTCTCCCAACGAACAGCTGGTGGGTTCAAACCGCTAACCTTTTGGTTAGCAGCCAAGCACTTAACCATTTTGCCACCAGAGCTCCTTATAAGAGACAAAAGTCAGGATGAGGCAAGGAAATAGAAAAGGGGAAGAAATAAAAAGGCAACTTTTTTCTGTTTTTAGAAGCACAAGTCTTTGGATACTATCGAATTATACTGATAAACAAATTTTTGTTTTTCTTTATTATTAAAGATTCATCAAATTTAATTTGTTGCAACAATATATTTAGACGGCTCATTAAAAATTCCATTTAACTGGAAAAACCAAAACACAATGGTGCATACTAGAAGGAAAAAGATCCAAACTTACCAGGTCCCACTGGCATCATCCCAGGAGGAGGAGGGCCCATCATTGGCATCATGGGAGGTCCCCCCATATGGGGTGCTGGCATCATCCCAGGACGAGGAGGACCCGCTGAAATAAATAATGGAGCTTGGGGTTAAAGTATGCTTAAATACTGACATTTTACTCTTCTTAATAAAACAATAAGGTCTCATGAACTGGTCCAGATTCTGTAACAATAAGCCTCTTGTAGAGTCTTTTATAAGAGCAGATCTACAAAAATAGTATGTCACAAACTCTAGTTACTTTATGACTAAAAAGCAAGAGCAAGCCTTCCAGATAGAAGGGTAATGAAGTCAGGTTCCCCACGTTAAAAAACATCCCAAGTAACTGTAATTAACAACCACTACCACCAAAAAAGGATTGTACCTTCTGTAGATTTATAGAGCTCCTGACAGAGAGCTAATGAACTTAAGCTAATTTCAAGTCTTTTTTAAAAGAATCAAAACCTAGATTTAAAAGATTCTTTGGAAATACAGAGGCTTACATGCAGATCTGGATATTCCTAACAGTATCATTTATAATAAAAATTAGGAACAAACATACAACAGTAAGAAAAGGATGAGGTAAATTATGGTACTTTCATACGTTATTAAAAATAATGGAATGAGTGCCAATCAGCTGGGGTGGGGTGAGAGAGGGAGAGGTGACCTGGGGAGTTGGTTGGGGTAAGGTCTGACTAAGTCCAGAGTGGTGCACACCATGAAGGGCTTGGCAGGTCATTAGTGGTCCACCTGCGTTGTTGTTGTTAGCTGTTGTTGAGCCAGCCACGCTATGCACAATGTGATCAATACTGCTGTGATCCACAGGGTTTTCACCGGCTGATTTTTCGAAAGTAGATCACCAGGCCTTTCTTCCTAGTCTGTTTTAGTTTGGAAGCTCCACTGAAATCTGTCTAGCATCATAGCAACATACAAGCCTCCACTGACTGACAGGCAGGCAGTGGCTGGGATTGAGGTGTACTGGCCAGGAATTCAACCCGGGTCTCCTGCATAGGAGGTGAGACCTCGACCACAGAACCACCATTGTCCCCTCCCACCTTCATTGTTGGTGGTGTTAGCTGCTATTGAGTAAGTTGATTCCAACTCATGGCAACCCCATGTGTGCAGAGCAGAGCTGTTCCATATGGCTTTCAAGGCTGTGACCTTTCAAAAGCAGATGCCAGGCCTGTCTTCCAAGGCACGTCTGGGTGGGTTTGAACTACCAACCTGTTGGCTAGTAGTTGAGCACTTAACGTTTTGCACCAATCAGGGACCTCCCACCCAGATTACCAAACCAAACCCAAACCCATTGCTGTTGAGTCGATTTCAACTCACAGTGACCTTACAGGACAGAACAGAACTGCCCCATAGGGTTCCCACCCACATAAGTGGGCAAGTATTTCAAACAGCCTAATGTATACTCATGATTACTTGCAAGACTGAGTTTAGGTCTCTGAGCTGAATTTCAATCTGAACCTTTTCAGGACAGCCAAAGAACTTACGGCTTGGTACTCCATCTCCTCCTCTGTGCCATGTAGAAACAACAAACCTTCCCAGAGAGCAGAGGCCTTAGATCCTCTCTACTTTCAACTACCCAATTCTTATCTTTCACAAGATATATACATTGATGTTAGGTGGGTTAGAAAATAGGGGCAAAGACTGAGGAGTTTGTCAGTGATTTCAATCATCCAATACTGAATGCACAGCAGTAAATAATTTAATGCACCTAACAACACCTATCTCATATATTAGCTCATCTGCCCTTTCCATCTGAATCTGTCTCTGCCCTTTCCATTTGAATCTGTCTCAGACTCACACTTGGGATACCACAAATACAACATCCTAATAATGATGCAATCAAAAGTTAACTTTAAAGCTTTTCCAGAAACTATACTTACAAAGTTGTTTTCTACTACTACCTATGTATTAGTTCAATGAGCATTTGAAAGCCAACTGTGAGATACTTTAAGATAATCTTTTTTAGTGTGCGTGCTTTAAGTGAAAGTTTACAGTTCAAGTCAGTTTCTCATACAAAAATTTATACATACATTGCTATGTGACCCTAGTTGCTCTCCCTATACTGTGACAGCACACTCTTCCTTTCCACCTCGGATTTCCAGTGTCCATTCAACCAGCTCCTGACTCTCTCTGCCTTCTCATCTCGCCTCTGGACATGATCTGCCCATTTAGTCTCATGTATCTACCTCAGCTAAGAAGCACACTCCTCAAGAGTATCACTTTATGTCCCATAATTCAGTCTAATCTTTGTCTGAAGAGTTGGCCTCAGGAGTGGTTTCAGCTCTGGGCCAACAGAGAGTCCAGGGGCCATGTCTTCCAGGGTCCCTCCAGTCTCAGTTAAACCAATTAGTCTGGTCTTTTTACTAGAATTTGAGTTCTGCACCCTACTTTTCTCCTGTTCCGTCAGGGACTCTCTGTTGCATTCTCTGTAATTTAAAATAATCTTAAAGAACTTTAAACTTACGGAGACTGGGGGGAGGTGGGATCATCGCCCCTGCTGGAGGAGGAGCAGAGAATGGAGTAGGAGGTATCTTTCCTTGTTGAAATGCAGCCGCTTTGGATGAGGGGAAGAGAAAAACAACGTACAATGAATAACAATTCAACAACCCATTTACTGTAATAACTACTTTCTTTTAAATGTTTAACAGTTCCAAATTATTTCACTCTAACAAGTATTCATCTAGTTACTACATCATGGCCTCTATGATTTTTAAACCAAACTTCCATATTCACCAGCTAAAATGGCAATTAATTGGTTTAGTCATTCGCAGTTTTGTTTGAAAAATATGTGATACATGCCAAAGGCCAAGCTGTATGAAACTTATCCCTCCTATGTATGCTGTACTGAGTCAAAACAATATACAATTTTAGTTTACCAGTTTTAAAATTAATGCACTGAGCTAGGAGATGTGGAATAAACAAAGATGGCCCAAAGAAGTTATGATCTTAAAAGAAAAGTCTGATACAATCAACTTTTAATCAGATAATACGAGGCACAAATGAGTTTATGATAGAAACAAGAGAACCTGATATTTGGCTTTAGAAGGGAGTCACAAATAAATACTCAAATACACACTCCCAAAGTCTATTTCTGAACCTAAACCCTTCCCAATTCAGTGCTGTCAGCAGCCTAGGAATACTCCATTATACTCCAAAACTAGTACAAAGGTGGTCAAATGACTCAGGTCAATCGCTGATAATTCATGAGAACCAGATTCAAAAAGAATGACCTAGAGTGGAGATTTACGAGTGTTATTCATTTGCCTCTGAATAGAACCTGTGCCTGGAATAAGGGCCTTCTGCAATCAAAAAGGCATCTCCCATACCCGGTGTAGGAGGACAGTTGGTAAAGACTAAAGGGAGAGAGGCTAAACTGCTGTCTCAGTAGCAGACTCAATGTCAACAGAATCATGGACATCATAAGGTGTGTCCCTGAGGGCTCGCCTCCTCTCCTCCAAAAGTCCTTCATTAAAAACGTTTACACATCCTAAATTATTTTGATGCATATGGAAAATAAGTAAGAGAATGTAATACTAACCTTTTAATGCCAAAAAATTTCTAACATCTTTTCGAATGGGGGGGGAAAAAAGATTACATCATAATCATGTTTGCAAACAAATGGGACGTCTGAGATTTATTCCATAATAATCTAGGAGGGGAGAGGGAGTAGATGAAGGTATTCAGTCGTTCTCAACTGGGGCAATTCCCCTCCCCACCTCCCCCGGGGACACTGGACAATGCCTGGAGACATTTTTGGTTGTCACAACTGGGGTTTGCTACTGGCATCTACTGGGTAGAGGCCAGGGACACTGCTAAACATCCTATAATGCACAGGACAGCCCCCTCAAAGCCCAAACAAAGAATTATCTGATCCAAAATGTCAATAGTGCCAAGGTTGAGAACCTTGGTATAAATAAAACAAGACTGACCATGAGTGGGTAACTGCTGCAGCTGGGTGATGGAGGAGAAGGGGGATCATTCATTAAACTTGTTTCTACTTTGAAATTTTGCATAATAAATATTTCTGGTTTTTAAAAATCAAATCACAAAGTCCATATTTGCCTGCCAGCTCTGGGTACAATGAATGATTAAAGAAGGTCATGTTCAAATATAACAAGAAGATCTAAAGTAGAAATGCAGCATCCTTCCCTGTCAGTGTCTTGGACCCAATTAGCCTGAACAACAAAAATGTTCCTAATTAACAAGAGTATGGCATGTGCAACAGGGGTACCAAACATATCCAGACTATTGGGACACATCAGTCTTTTTGGCCAGTTTTCTTTGTCAGGACAACAAGGAATTAAGAAACTCAAGTGAAGTCTCTCAAAGTATTTAGACAGAACTATAATCCCATGCCATGCCTTTTCCTGTTATAACAGGAAAATAGTTCTAAAAACTATGGAACACTACAAAAAGAGTTTTACATAAATTTGCTGCAAAATTTGGTCTGTGTGTATAGAGTAAATATTAGGCAACTTGATTCTTTTCTGCTCTGTGTTCCAGCTTAACCAATATCTGATTGCTCTATCCTCAATAATTAATTTCAATGTGTTCCTGTATCCCTGGGAAACCAATGACCTTCCACTTCTTTTATTCAACATGTCCAAATGCCCCTAATTTCATTCAGAATGAGTTGCTTCTGTGAAAAACAATAGAGAGACAGGGATGAGAAAGAATGGGACCATTCTCCCACATCACAACAGGAGACTGAAACGTACTTGTTTTGTCAATCAGGCTCTGAGCCTGCTCTTCCATCCATTTCTGATAGTAGTCTTTCACATTCTCTTTGTGTTTCCTACCACTGCAGTGTGTCTTTCTCACAGATGGCTGTAAAACAAAAGTCATATAACTCATAGAAACGAATTTCCAAAACTAGAGATTTTATAAAGCCTCAGCTTAATAAAGGTAGCCTGGCTAGCATTTTGCTGCTAAAGCACCACTTATAAATATTATCTGGCAACATATTGTGCTAACTTATCCACTACATTTATTATCCACACCAGGGTCAGCAAACTGTGGCCTGCAGGTCTGCTGTTATTTTTATAAAAAGTGTTTTATTGGAACATAGCCACATTCATTCATTTATCTATTGTCTATGGGTTTTGCACTACAGCAGAGTAATTGCATCAGAAACCGCATGGTCTGCAAATCTAAAATATTTACAATCTGGCACTTTAAGAAAAAGTCTGCTAACCCTTGATCTAGACTCCAATACCATGTTAATGCCCTTTCTTAAGTTATTCCATAGCAAAATAATATAGCTTACACATTTACATAACAGTTTATGTGAATATGTTCTTTTAAATGACTATGGGTCTAGAGTACACACTCTATATAAACCACCTACAGAGACCTTTGTCTCTAGCCTACTAGTCCTAGGCTTTTTTTTTTAAATAGTTTTACTGAGGTGTAATTGGCATATGATAAACGCCACATATTTAACCTTTTTTTTTTAAGTTAACATTTACTGAACACTTAGTATATGCCAGGCACCATGTTACATACTTTACAAGCATTGTCTCAATTAATCTTAGTGAAAATCATGTCTCATGGTACAATGGAATACCACCCCAAAATAAAAAAGAACGTATCACTGATACAATACATGCAACAACATGGATGAATCTAAAAAACATTATGTAAGCAAAAGCCAGACACATACACAAAGAGTAAGATTCCATTCATATGAAGCTCTAAAACCAGCAACATTAATCTTTTGTAATAAAAATCAGATCAGTAGTTAACAGGGGTGCAGGGACTGACTGCAAAGGGGCATAAGAGAACTTTCTGGGGTGATGAAAATGTTGTAATCAACTGACAAGCCATTGAACTGTGCAGGTAGTCCCCGACTTACAACAGGGTTTCATTCCAATGACTCCGTCGTAAGTCGGTTCTAACGTTAAGTTGAATGTCTCTTTTTTTTTTTTTAAGTTTTCATTATTATTGCCTTCTATTATCAGCATCTTTATAAATCCAATCTTTGTCTTTAGGGGTTGGCATGAGAATGATAACATCAGCAAATTATGCACTGCAACACTGTATGTAGTACATATTACTAATCATAAGATGTACAAAAAAAAAAAAACCCAAAAAAAAAAAAAAAGTCACCTTTGGTTTTGTAAACAAAAATGTTTTATTTTTCCATATTGCAAACATTACTTATAAACTTACAAATATATTTTAATACATACACATTACTAATCATAAGATGCACCAAAAAAAAAAAAAAGAACAGTCATTAAGTGTGGTTCATCCTACCTCGTTGTAAGTCAGGGACTACCTGTACACTTAAAATGTGGGCATTTAATTGAATGTAAATTATAATTCAATGAAGTTGACCCAAAAAATCACAAGGTTATAGTATTCTATCTACAGAAAAGGGAACTTGAGGCCTAAAGAGGTAATTCACTTGCCTCAAAACACGTAACTGCTAAGTGACAAAGCAGGGCCCAGAACCCAGATCTCCATCAGATGCTCCTCCTGGCTACCTAACTATACTTACTCTTCACATGGTTACCTCCACTGCAGCAGATACAACTAATGACACATGGACAGAGATATCCTTTTCAAGGTCTACATTTCAAAACGTTGCTCCCTGCCTCCCAAACCACTGTTTACATTAACACAATAATAATGTCTTAAGTCTAATAATAAAATCATGCCTAAGGAACAAATAAAAGTCCAAAAGTTACAACACTGGTAGTTGTTTTATTTTACATTTCAAGTCTACTCCAAGGAACTGCTTTCATCACCATGGAAACTTTCTACTATTTTCTCAAGATACCACTTTAGAACAACTGTATTGCAAGGGTTCTGATGTTTGTTATAAAGAGATATTTCTTATATAGAGATACTTAGCCATTCTCTAAATTCTGGCATTATCAAGATGATAAGCAGGTATAAAACACTATAAATCAAAACCAAACCTATTGCCTTTGAGTCAATTCTGACTAATAGCAACCTTATAGGACAGAGTAGAGCTGCCCCATAGGGTTTTCAAGGCTGTAATCATACTGCCACATCTTCCTCCCGTGAAGCAGCTGGTGAGTTAGAACCACCGACCTTTTCGTTA